GCCGTGTTTCCTGAACTGCACGATGAATTCTATTGACTGTACGAATACGGGATTCCCAAATTCTGCGAAATTTGTCGCTAGACTTATTCCATCTGCTTGAACCAACTATCCTTCCTCTAACAAAATCTGACAATTCGAGAGAACCTTGAGTTCCAAGGCATGTTGTAGCACAAGATAATTAGTGTGCGGACCATTGTCATTTATATAGTGCTCTGTGAACACGAAAAATTAGGTGTCTATTTACTTGTGACCACTCAGCGTACTTTAGTAGACATTTTGTATAACAATATATTAAAACTTACCAAAGTTTTTAACAAGATCTAACATTAAGTCATAGAATATCATTATTAATTTATTTACTGATAGTATTAAGCACAGTAAAGTATAGCTCTAAGTAAAGCAAAAAACATACACAAATTACAGCGTTAGCTTATCTCTATCAAATACAAGCCACATTTAATAAAGGCTTAACTAATGTTAGGCCTAAGACAAACATACTTATAGATTTTGGTGTCTGCAATTAAATTCTATTGTATTATTCTAGAATTCCTTTAACTAAAGTACTGTTGCAATAAAGAAATTAATCTGACTGCAAATTTAGCTTAAATATAATACTAATTTAAATATAATACATACAATATAGTATTTGAGGTGAAAGGTTTTACAGAATAAAAAGGTAACATTACACAATCTGCATTTAAGATAATACAATATTTCTAGGTTAAAAACATTTCAATTGGTCCTTATGTAACAAACACTCTGCCTTCAGGATAATATAATATAGAATTTTGAGATAAAGAGTTAGTACTTAGTGCTTTAATTAAACAAGATAAAATGCATTATGCAGGCTATATTTTACAAGATTTCTTTTTTTTTATACAAAACTGCTTCTGTTTAAATCTAGGTCTCATTCACTTCATCAAAAAATCAAAGTGTAAATGATAGAGTATAAGTGACTTTTCACCATTTTCCTCTCTTTTCAGTTGTCATTTACTATTAACTTGTTGTTTTTACACAATAGATTATATTTCATATTTATACTTTTAATAATGTCATAACATGAACAAAATGTAAATACGAAACTCAAGGATGACATTTTCTCAAAATAATTTGATAATTAATCCCTTTCTCTTCATATGGACACACTTTGATGGAGGTTTTCACACTGAATTTAATGATATATGGCTTGTTGGGTTTTCTTCAACAAAATATACAATAAAGCAATCAAATATAAAATTTTCAATATTTCATCTGATTTCCTAATTTTTCCTGGTTCTCCACAAATACAAAATGCCTGGTCATTCAAGGGTTAAAGAAACTCATAGACTAGAATGTTATTAGAAAGCAGACCTTCCTTATTCAGGGTAAAATCACCCATGAAAAGAGATGGTCGACACACTACAGTGTCTACTTTATGGAGTTCTTTTAATTGTGATTTATCTACTATTTTGATCTTTCACTGATGTTCAACTATCTTCAAGTTAATACCAGGTGGCACTGAATACATTTCTATATTCCACGATAATTATGATTAATCTTTTACAACCACTAAAGGAGAATTATTAACAGGTTGGAAAACAGTTTGCAGTGATACTTACAAGATCTTTAGGAAGTTCTGTAATGTCGTCCCATTCTGGACTACAGAACTCAAATTTTCCTTCCATAATGTTTCTCAGCATAATCATCTGTTTACGGTGCCAGAACGGGGGAAAGCCAACTAACCTAAATCGTACATATTATACGACCATCAATGTCTAAATAACAAAACTGTATGACTTAAAATTGATAAGGTTGTGAAGGGAAATCTGATCATATGCTTTAGTTAGAAATTTGAATGATCTTAGACCTAAACTTGTGGACTGGTACCATGTTCACAATCCACTAAGCTTCTTTCAGATGACAAAGTCTGAAATTATATTAGAGTACTTCTAAAACAAAGGCTATAATATGTACTTCACATAAATAATGGTGTCATCAGTTGGCTTTATAGCCTCCACAAATATATTAAAGAAAAAAGTTAAAAGGGGAAGAAGATATTTTTTGTTTATTCTTTGAGGTTTGTTTCAATTAAACTAAACTTTATAAGTTTACAAGAGCCTTTTTTTGCTATAATTTATTATCTGATTTTGAAACAAGGTATGATTAAAACATGTACAACAGCCAGAATAGATATTCTGTTCTGACTTTAACTTAACAGGAGCATTGGCTCTGATCCTTACATAAACTTCTTCGCTGTTCAAAACAATACCAAAACAGATGTAACTAAATGTCAGATGATTCACACTTTAGGCTCAGGTGAGTAAAATAAATTGTTTTGGATGTAAGTTTTAACTTGGAACTAATAACACCAAGAAAATGGTATTCATCTCACTAATGTACCAAAGAATTTAAGCAACTATGAAAATGTTGAAACAATGGCATCTTTTGAATGAAATAATAAAGAAGCATCATCTTTGTTAAGTCAGACAATTAAACAGACAATTTATAGCATTCATTACTGCCTTTCTTTGAAAATCTGAGACTGAATGCATTTAATACATGTATATGTGGTTGTAAAGGGTTTACTTTTTCCATCATTAAATAAACCTTCATAATGTGCCATCTTTCTAGATTTGTAGCTTCAGTCCTCAGAGATTCAAATTTAGGTTATGTGAGGAAATACTAATTTTTTCTGTTTGTTTAACAAACTTAATGTTAAGAAACAAATAAAGAAACAACTTACAGGGTATACATGATCACACCACATGCCCATCTGTCATAGAGAAATAAAAAAAGAGTTATTACAATAATATATAATCTTAGAATTACAGATGGGTTACATACTATATTGACTTTTTTAAACACATATTTCAAAACTGTTTATATGCCAGCCTGCTTGGTTACAGGGCCTCTAGTAACATGAATGTCACAAAAACAAAAATACCATCAACAATGAAATTAATCTCACTAACTGCTGCTGGAGATTTCTACATACCTTCCACACAAAATGAGTGAAATCACCAAATACTTTTGGCCAGTTCTTTATAGCATGTATCGTAACAGATACAAAGACACAGAATTGTTCAATATAAAGCAACATGTAGAACCACTAGCAATTATTGGTAAGAAAACAAATTGGCATTTATGGATAAATAATATTTTCACAATCAAATCCTGAACACATTCTAATTTGTATTATAAGGCTTAAAATAAGTTACTTCAAGTTATTATATCTAACCTTCAGAATAAAAATGGAAATATTCTGGTACTAACAGATTGGCATGTCATCGATATGAAACAGTTCTATAGTAAAATATTACTAATATTCAATTTGAAAATTACATTTAACTCTCTTAAATTTTTTATGTCAATTTGATACTTCTATTGACTTAACATAAATGTCTCTAAACATTTAAAAGACATTATGATGTCAAAGAAAAACCTTTCTCCAGATTTTCTAAGAATCTAAACATACATAGTTACCAAAACAAATTTATAAAATATTCAGTAGCAATATCTAAATCCTCATGTAAATTATATACAGCTCTTCCATCTGGTGAGAGAATTGTTAACTATATAATTTTGTCCAGCTATTCTTGACAAGTTTATCTTCAGTCATTTATCAAATTCTCACAAAATATTTTACTATCCAAATAAAATTTGGCTTCTTACTAATTATTCCTAGAATTAATTAAATTATACAAAAGTAAAAGAAAACAATCATGCTCTGATAATGAAAAATTTAGTAAATTAGTGTATATATCATTTCATAGGTTCACTTCATTATGAATATATCCTTGACTGTTATTAAAACCAACTTACATGTCTACTTCTTTGTTGTAGCCTACTGCATTCTCATACATTGATGCCTTAAGTAATTCTGGAGCCAAGTACCCAGGTGTTCCACATAATTCTGCAAATAAAATGTTTGATTTCTGCAGAACTTCAATTTACACTTACAAGCTGACAAGATGTAAGAAATACATGCTAATTCTTCACAGCAGTATGTTGAAAATTGTCAAAAGTTGAACAGTATTACTTTTAGGAAATAAATACACAATTTTTATTTAAGATTAAAACTAACTGTTTTTCAATAATTATAATTTGATGTTATTTAAATTGTTAACTCTATCGCAATGGGTTAATGTGTTTTACATGCCCTTGTAACCATGGTGATATACATAATATGACTCTGAAAGTACTTAATACATCTTCATGAAATTTGGCAAGTTTTCAGTAAACATTAAAAGTCTTTTATAGACAAAAAATAAGAATTTTTAACTAAGCATTTTTATGAATACTTCATCTATAATTATATGGTGTCAGTGTTGACTGCTACAAGTATCAAGTGATTAACAATAATTTTCTTCATCTGAAAATTTTCAAATTTCACTTCCATAATCCCTAAAATCTCTTAAATAAATATTACAGGCTTTGTTTTCCAGAAAAACTTTATATTTATCTGTTAGTTTCTATACTATAATTCTATCCATGGTCAGTCAATTGATTGACCTCATAATCAGCATACAAAAGAATACAAGTAATTCTAAATTACCTCTTCCTTTACAGAATGACTGCAAATTGTAACAGGAAACCACAACTGATTTTTCTAAAGAGTTTAGAGCTTGTTACAGTATACATCTACTTATAGTTATACTTAATTTTATTGTTTTATTGCTATTTCAACTGTGTCTAACAAATATTTCTGCCGCATAAGTTGTAAATCACTTGGCAAATGTGTAGCTGACATTACTCTATAGAATTATGTAACATACAAGATCTTCGTGAGCACATCTCCTGAAGAATTTTTATTATTTTTCTTTATCTTACCTAATCTAACTTAAGTTTCTAATTTTTACATTTTAGTTACTTTTATAATAATAAATAGAGAATACACCGAAAAACAAGTATTATAGTATTTACCCGGGTCTTCATTTTTTTACTGTTGACTGTAGATGAAACTTAAGCCTACATTTTTTTTTTATATACTAATGGTACTACCACACTAAGTAATTTTCATTTAATAAAATACTACATCCAAAACAAAGAAAAATAAGACAATGTCCTATAACAATGTCATAACTTTTCTGGCTTTCTAACTATATGATAAACACTAAAATTGCAGCTACGCTCCTATGGGAATAAAGTTTGAACTGGAAACAAAATAGACAATTTTCTGTACAGAAAACAATGCAACATAATTATATATCACTTGATAGACTAAAACTTTGGCCTTCTATTGGTTATGAATAATATAGTAATAAACATCAGGGAGAACTATTTGCAACTTGTGAAAGAGAGGATGTGACAGGTGGGCATGGCTAGAGGGTTGGGGTCTGATTTTCTAGTTTATGGCTCTTTAACCAAATATGATTGAAGGCTATAAAAATAATGCTTTGCCTGAATAACATCTATATTATGAGCCATTTATGTTAAATTCTGTACTTTTTGGAGGGGTGGTAAATAAATTAGAGAAGAGGGGAGACCTAGAGAGCAAATGTCACAATTTTCATACTAAGGGAAATGGAGGATTTTTTAATATTTTTGTATAAAATTAAGAACTTAAAATGTAAATAATATTAAAATTTGGTTTGTTTGCTACATTTTGATCTCAAGTTTATTTGTATATTGATAATAAAGTAAATAATATAACTCTGTAAAAGATTGTGACATGCACATTTTGACCTACCTAATGCTAAAGGGTTAAATGTATGGAAAAAATAAATATAAGAGCAAATCTTTTGTCATAAATTTAATTTATTTATTGGAAATTCAAGATATGTAAGCGGATAGTGATTTCACCATAAATGTGAAATGTAAAACATCAATCACTTGAGATATACAAACCTTAGCTGTTAACTCCTTCACAATGAGCATCCTTCACTGCACACATCACAAGGTTTTTAATGACTTATATTAAAAATTTAATTAAACTACTTTTTGTTTATGTTATACCAAATAGTATAGCATAAAATCCCAGTTAATAATCTATATTTTAATTGTATATAAGTTTTAAGTTCTTGATATTATAAGGCAATATTTTTCAAAAATTGTGAATTTCTCCTAGTGTGAGAAATGTGAAATTTTTTCTTTATTTACCAATCTCCAATAAGTACGAAATTTAAAGTAAATTACTCACTATCAAATCATCGCTCAGACAAAACAATCTTTATAGACTTTAATCTTGTTTGGTTACAGAGACATGACATAGAAAATCAGGCCCCTTTTGCCATACCCACCTGTCACATCCTCTCTTTCAGGATTTGTTAATAGTTCTCTCTTATGTTTAACACTGTATTATTTATAACCAATACAAAGCCAAGGTTTTCATCTATCAAATGACTTATTTAATTACATTATTTTCTGAACACAGAATTGCCAATTTCTCTTTTAGTACAAGCATCTTTCCAACAGGAAAGATATAGACTAGTGTGGATGAATTTGTAACTACTCTTGTTGCATAGTTAGAAAGCTAGAACAATTGTGATACTTATGGGAGATTGTCTGTTTTTTGCATATTATTATTCTGTGTTCTTTGGTGCATTATATAATTAAATAAAAAATATTTAGTGCATTACTACCATTAGTATAAAAAAGTAGGGTTAAGTGTTATCGACAGTTGACAGCAAAAAAAAACAAGATGCAGGTAAACACTTTATTTCATGTTTTTCACGAGTATTCTTTATTTATTTATTATTATACAATTAACTAAAATGTAAAAATAGGAAAATCTTTAGGTTAGATTAGGTATAAAAAATAATAATAATATAATAAAAATGTTTCACGATGCACACATGCGAGCAGCTCGGAGTACCTCATGGGTACCATAATTCAATCGTGTGACGTAAGATCCACATTCCCCAAGTGATTTACAACTTATAATGCTGCAAATAGTAGTTAGACACCATTCAAAGGGTAAAGAAATATAAGCATAAATAGTATAAAGTACAAGTATAAATTGTATACTGTTACAAATTTAAAGCTAAACACTCTTAAACGAATATAGTTTCATGTTACAATTTGAAGTC